CCACACTTCTGGCCTTTCATTGTTACTACTCAGTAGCACATAACACTGGGCAGCATAGCCACCCCTGAAATATAACCCATAGCATCTTGGACCTCTAAGATTGCCCATCGTTGAGTTCGGGATCTGATGGCTTGGCTGGAAATGTGTTTGAATGTCGCGCACAACTCAGCTTGTCTAGGCGTGCATAAAGGCGTCTCATCACCAGTGACCTAAAAGTGGCGGATTAGAACGCCTGAACTAGTTTACCGATATATCTGCTCTTTTATTGCTACCAGACCATTCTTCACACCTAGAATCTCAAGAATATCTTTTGTTTGCAAGGGTTGACGCCCGATGATTGGTTTGCCAAACTTCCGCCAACTCCCCCACAAATCGGTTCTGACAGCTCTCTGTGTTTCGACCAATCACGCTGCGTCGCGCAACATTTGTGGCATGCGTGTGGCGCGGAACCCTAACCAAGCAGCGAAGATCGTTATGCCTTAGCTAACTGACCGTAGATTTCCAGCACTGTTCATCACATTATATGGGACAACCACGGGAACGCCCAGAACATGGGAGCGTGAACGTGTGAACACTGAGGAGAGGACCTATGCCAGCCATAACCGAAGTAAACATGCCCCTTTCACAGGGCGTGTAGAAGGGCACATACATGATAGCCTGACGCGTGGAATTGCTAGCCCCGAACAGCACAGTTCCACCTCGTCAGCGAGGTGTTTGATTGGCCGAAAGGCCATTAAAGGGGGCTGTATCTGCCTAGTCAGCAGGTTAAACCACACAGACCATTGCCAAAGCCCCAACAAGTGGGGGCGCTTTGGCGAATCTCGATCGCTCATGCGATTGCGAAACTTGTTTGGACCAGGCTGGCTCGAAACCCTTTAGTGAAATTCGACGACTAGTGTAACAGCCTTCGCGGCTGCTCTTCACTCATAGTGTCGTGACTACAGAAGTTCGAGGTTACGATAGCATTGAATCTATGTCTCCCGGTGTGCAGGTACTTACAAAACGAGGTGATAAGATACTGTGCATGGATCACTGAGTCGGACGCAGATGCATGGGCGGCGAGCATCCCACTAAGGCAGGTCACGGTGAGTGCTGTTGCCTTGTGTGTACGAGCTTTGAAGCAATCGCATCTCCCTTTCCCTGCACGCAATTTCCACACCGAAACCCCACTCCCGTCTCGGCCCTCACCACGCGCTCACGCACCCTGTGATTGTCCAGATACCCATGCAGGCAAATGAGAACGACTGTGGTGTGTTCACGATGCGTGTGATGCACACGTTGGTCGAGGATGGTTTCTATAAACTACCGGCGTGTGAGCTTGTAGGGACGCCACTCCATTGGCGCCGTCAGTACCGTCACGATTTGAGGAAGTGGTCTGTGTATTTTCGGGCAAAAACAATGTTGGAGGTTGGAGGTGGGGCATGCGGCGGTGAAAAGCTGGTAATGGGGCGGGTAGCAAGCGAGAATGAGGCGGGAAGCATGGGGGAATGAGGCCCGAAGCAAGGGGGAATGGGGCCTGAAGCAAGGGAGAATGAGGCGGGTAGCAGTGAAGAATGGGGTGGGAAGCAAGGGGAAATGGGGTGGGTAGCAGGGGGGAATGAGGCCGGAAGCGAGGGGACATGAGGCGGAAAGCAGAGGGAATGAGGGGGGTCGCAAGGGAGAATGAGGCGGGAAGCAAGGGGGACGCTGCTCTGAAGCAAGGGGGAATGAGGGAGGTAGCAAGGGAGTATGAGGCCCGAAGCAAGGGGGAATGAGGCCTGAAGCAAGGGGGAATGGGGAGGGTAGCAAGGGAGAATGAGGAGGGTAGCAGTGAAGAATGGGGTGGGAAGCAAGGGGGAATGGGGTGGGTAGCAAGGGGGGATGAGGCCGGAAGCAAGGGGACATGAGGCGGGAAGCAAAGGGGAATGAGGGGGGTAGCAAGGGAGAATGAGGCAGGAAGCAAGGGGGATTGGGGCCTGAAGCAAGGGGGAATGAGGGAGGTAGCAAGGGAGTATGAGGCCCGAAGCAAAGGGGAATGAGGCCTGAAGCAAGGGAGAATGAGGCCTGAAGCAAGGGGGAATGGGGAGGGTAGCAAGGGAGAATGAGGAGGGTAGCAGTGAAGAATGGGGTGGGAAGCAAGGGGGAATGGGGTGGGTAGCAGGGGGGAATGAGGCCGGAAGCGAGGGGACATGAGGCGGGAAGCAGAGGGAATGAGGGGGGTAGCAAGAGAGAATGAGGCGGGAAGCAAGGGGGACGCGGCTCTGAAGCAAGGGGAAATGAGGGAGGTAGCAAGGGAGTATGAGGCCCGAAGCAAGGGGGAATGAGGCCTGAAGCAAGGGGGGAAGGGGAGGGTATCAAGGGAGAATGAGGAGGGTTGCAGTGAAGAATGGGGTGGGAAGCAAGGGGGAATGGGGTGGGTAGCAAGGGGGGATGAGGCCGGAAGCGAGGGGACATGAGGCGGGAAGCAGAGGTAATGAGGCGGGAAGCAGGAGGGAGTGAGGCGGGTACGTGGGAGGAATAAGTATGTGAGTGAAGAACAAGGAAGCGGGTAGCATGGGGGAATGAGGACAAGATCAATAGGGAATTGTTTGTTCATCCGTCCTGCCAGCTTGATATGCCAACAAACATGACACAAAGCGCAATGGAGAGGCCTTGAATCAGTCCTGCATGACTTGACAACAAGTGTGGCCAAATGAGAGTGTTGGCCACAACCAGTCCTCCATGTCTAAAGAACACTACCCGTAGGGAAGTGTTTGTCACTGGCGTTCCTGCTTGACATGTATACAAACAATACACAATGGGTCAGTGAGATGCTGCAAAACATACCTGCATGTCCCCACAACTCTAGTGGGTAGAACAGCAGGGGTTTCTCAACTCCGTTCCAGCATGAACCTAGAACATGCAACACAGCATGCTCTTGGGTCCCTGCATAAAGGTTGCCCTGTATGGCATGAGAGCAGCCATGCCCCATATGGGGAGTTTGTGTCTGGCTCAATTATTATTGCACCTCAATTGGCATGAGAGGAGACATGCCCATACGTGTTGCATAACGACCAGGCAGCAATCAAATAATGCATACTTACTAATCAATCGATGTATCAGAATGACTGCTCCACCACAGACCGTTATGTGCATGTTCTGTGAAGGTGGTGTTTGGTTTTACACTGTTATGTTGCATACTTGTCACTATGCTAATGGGTTAGGGGGACTCCTGTTACGAGTGCAATTGAGTGAGCGAACGAGGATTGCACTGTCGGGAAAAAAGTACAACTGAGCGAAGGTATGAGCGAAAGGTTATATAGCGAAACCACAGTGGTAATGGTAATGGACTGTAGTTGTCGCGCGACGGGCCTGGGACTGAGGTTGGAAAAATGTCAAGGCGAAGGTCCGGAGTGCGGGTTACCGCCGAGCCGTGAGGTTGGGGTGCGACGTGCGAAAGTGGCGGGCGGATTGTCGATGCGAGTGGTAACGGTGCTGACTGAGGTGCTACAGTGATGTACGCATTGAGCAGGGATGCAAAGTAAGGAAAACGAGATTTTCCTTACAACTCCATAACCCTCTAATTCTATTTTTATCATGTACGTACACCACACTATTGAGGCTTTGCAAACTAATGTGCCATTACGTGCCCCGCCTTGCGCCATTCCACTCGACTCCACGCTATGCCACGTACGCGAATCTCCCTGATTTGCGAACCAGTCGCAACCACACACAAGGAACTTTTGAGTCTGCATTTTTATCGCAGGCGTGCCGCAACGGCTTCGTGTTGACCTGTCGCATCGCTGTACGACTTGCTGCGATCGAGCGTCGCCGTTTCTCCGCAGACCCTATGTGACTCTTGACGTGCAGCTTGTGTAGGTTTGTGTGGCACGCAAGGCACTTCATTGTAAGCAGTTCGACAACCCGGGCAGAATAATTATGACCCTCGCAAACCCAGATACAGTAGCGCATTTGACTGTCGGGTTTAACAAAAAGAAGCCCACCCTGCCGCTTGTGGACTGATACTCAATTAAGCACGTTAGGTCCCACGGAATCTTAACACGGCAGTGCTGCATTTTTTTCCTTTATACCCCTCAACCCTCAGGCGATTGGTTGAGGGCGGAAATGGGGGACCTGGCAGTCGCAACGTGCACCATAGCAGGAAACACTCAAACCCTCATCACCTCCGTGCTCCCCTTGCATGCCTCCAGATGTGACGATCGCCTGCTCTAGGCCCCAGACTTTGCCTCGTCCCTCACCCTCCTCAACCAATTTCTTATGCTCGTAGACTGCTGTCAGGTTCTAGGCGTTAGCACAACCCGCAACCTCATAGTACTGCGTTAATGGAAAGCTAGACATGGTAACAAGGAAATCAGACAATGAAGGGGAACGAGGGGGCGATCGTACTGGCTGAATCGACTAAAACCCCCGAAGAAACAAACTTTGGCGAGTTAGTAACAGCAGATAAGACGGCCGAGCTCGTAATCGAGTATCGCAAAAATAATGCGTCGACGTCGCGAGATGTTGTTGGGGCCAGACGTGTCTCGTCATCCGGTGACGAATCGAATAGCGACTGCGAGGTGGAGCCATACGCAAACAAGGGCATATCATCCCCTTCAAAACCAAGGGATAAGCGCGTGAAGCGCTTAGATGATCTCGTTCCCAAAGGCGGCCAGAAAGGTATGTGTTTATGGTTGCAGATGCGGAATATTCTACTTGTATGCATGAATTGATGCTTGTAGTCGTGTCTGACCTGTTGGAGGTTATCGTCTCTCCAATTGTGTTTCCACATCAGCGATAGCGGACAAGCGAGACAACCGGGGGGGCCGTAAGCACCGTCCAAGAAAAAGAGGCACTCGTTCACATCGTGAGGAAACGCCTGCGTGTGAAGGCGACGAGGAGGGCAAAGACGGGGGACCTGACAGCTTAGGTACGCTGTGGGTGTGATATCGTCGCTTTATATTTTGCACGTTACTCATAACAATGACGCCGCATGTCATGCTGCAACTCCCTATATATTGTTTATATCTTATGTACCTGTAATGTCCGCCTTCGCAGATGGGACGGCAGGCCAACGCGCTCGTGGTGGCGGAAAGCGCAACGGCGGCAGGGCTGCCGCGGCCAAGGGCGGTCCCTCGGGCAGGCAGTCGGAGGATGCGGATGGGGGCGACGAGGGGGATCATGCCGAGCCGGTCACTACCCGTGGTGGCGGAAAGCGCAACGGCGGCAGGGCTGCCGCGGCTAAGGCCGATCCCTCGGGCAGGCCGGCGCAGGATGCGGATGGAGGCGACGAGGGGGATCATGCCGAGCCGGAAGCTCGTGGTGGCGGAAAGCGCAACGGCGGCAGGGCTGCCGCGGCCAAGGGCGGTCCCTCGGGCTTGCAGGATGCGGATGGGGGCGACGAGGGGGATCATGCCGAGCCGGTCACTACCCGTGGTGGCGGAAAGCGCAACGGCGGCAGGGCTGCCGCGGCCAAGGGCGGTCCCTCGAGCTCGCAGGATGCGGATGGTGGCAACGAGAAGGATCATGCCGAGCCGGAAGCTCGTGGTGGCAGCATGCGCAACGGCGGCAGGGCTGCCGCGGCTAAGGGCGGTCCCTCGGGCAGGCAGTCGCAGGATGCGGATGGTGGCGACGAGAAGGATCATGCCGAGCCGGAAGCTCGTGGTGGCGGCATGCGCAAAGGTGGCAGGGCTGCCGCGGCTAAGGCCGATCCCTCGGGCAGGCCGTCGCAGGATGCGGATGGAGGCGACGAGGGGGATCATGCCGAGCCGGAAGCTCGTGGTGGCGGCATGCGCGACGGCGGTAGGGCTGCCGCGGCCAAGGGCGGTCCCTCGGGCTCGCAGGATGCGGATGGTGGCGACAAGAAGGATCATGCTGAGCCGGAAGCTCGTGGTGGCAGCATGCGCAACGGCGGCAGGGCTGCCGGGGCTAAGGGCGGTCCCTCGGGCAGGCAGTCGCAGGATGCGGATGGTGGCGACGAGAAGGATCATGCCGTGCCTACATGCCGTGGCGTTAACGATCATGACGAGGACGAGCCAGCAGCAGTGACTGATGGGAAAGATGGACGTGAAGCTGTGATTCCGTACTAACGGTGCAAGGCTGTGGATCCGGGCAGTTGCGACCATAAGGCGAGACAAGCTCGGCACGGCCCCAATGTGCACGTTTCGAGCTCGTCTGGTTCCGAGGAAGATTCAAGCGACAGTGAGTCGGGCAGCTCATCCGGGATTGAGGAGGTATACGAGGACGAGGATGAGGAGGAGGAGGACAAGGATGATGAGGAGTTGGAGCCGGAGAGCAAGGATGGGGAGGAGGCCCGGCCTTTGAAGAGGAGGAGTGTGCGGAAGCTCAAGAAGGGCAACGCTAAGCAAAAATCGGAGAGGGGACAGGTGAAGAGCTGTAAACATAGTGTGCGTCGTGCCAAACCACATGGCAAGCGCCAGAGACCTCGATTCGAAGCTAAAATTGTGGGTGTGCATAGCAAGGCGAAGCGGGAGTTGAATTTTTACGAGTCCATGGGGATACGATGTACATCAAGCTCTCATGATCGGCAAGCCGCGGACCCGTACGCTGCGTTACGCAATCTGATGGGTCCGGCTGGGAAGGGAGATCAGATGGCTTGGGGGTCAGCGCGGTTTGGCAGGGAAGCGACGGACCCGCCCCCCAACCATATGGGGGGTCGCGCGGTTCATGTGAAAAACGAGGGGGCAACGAGGCGGCACGAACCCTCGGCAGCTGCAGCAGCGAATGACGGTGTGGGAGGAGGTGTGTGGGCGAATGCCTTGGGTGAATGTGGCGGCGGTGTGGAAGGCTCCATGTGGGATGTACGAGAGAGCAGGAGAGAAGGGGGGGACGAGAAAATGGATCCGGCGACTAAGGAGGGGAGGGGAGAGAGCATGGGCACACCTGGCGCATCCAGTCGGCCGGATGTGGCTGGTGGCAGGACTGTGGAGCAGCTCATGCAAGAGCTTGCCCAGCGGGATCGCGAAATCGCTGCACTCAAGGCAAGGCCAGGATCAGAAGGACCTGTCAAGCCCTGCACCCCTCCATCTAGGCCTCCTCCTCTAGCGTCTCTGTCGAGCGGCCCATCTGTAGGGGGCCTCGATCCAGGCGTGGCGCCAGAAAGCCCAGCGACGGTAGACGTACCGGTCCATCGAACGCGTGGGATGCCCACACCCAAGCTGCTGAAGGTGAGATTGTTTTAGTGTTAAACAATGTGTGGCATGGGGCTCAGTGATAGCTGCAGCTCTCTCTCTCAACCCCTCTTGCTGCTGGTAAGCGTGTTTGTGGCATTATGCGCAGTGATAGCGGCATGTCTGCAGTGGGATAGGCATTCCCAGTACGCCTCGCTTCAGGGACGTGGCGCTGGGCGTACGATGCTCTCACATTCTGCCCCCGACCCCTAGCTCACCATAGCAGTTATCCATCCTCCATTGGCCCCTCTCTCCCATCCCTTATCACCCTAAACCAGAGCCCCTGTTCATGGTGCTGGTGCTGGTGTGGGTGGCACGCGGCGCAAGGATAGCTCATTGTAGCAGTTATCCTTCCTATCCCTCCCCCCTCTCTCCCATCCCTCGCCTAGCTCTTCCACAGCCCCTGTTCCTGGTGCTGGTGGTGGTGTGGGTGTCATGCGGCGGAGGGATAGCTAAGAATAGCAGTTATCCTTCATCTCACTTCCCTCTCTCTCCCATCCCTCCCCTCCCTCTGCAAGAGCCCCTGTTGATGGTGCTGGGGGTGGTGTGGGTGTCATGCGGCGGAGGGATAGCTAAGCATAGCAGTTTTCCTTCATCTCACTTCCCTCTCTCTCCCATCCCTCCCCTCCCTCTGCGAGAGCCCCTGTTCCTGGTGCTGGTGGTGGTGTGGGTGTCATGCGGCACAAGGAATAGAGGAAGCCGTATCCGTCAACCCCATGCGGCCCCCTTTCTGTCCGCCGCTCCTCCCTCCCCTCTCTATCCCGTCCCTCTCCCTCCTCGTCCAGAGCCACTGTAAAAGGTGCTGCTGGTCACGCGTGTGGCATGCGGCGTAGCGTGCAGGGGGGTGGCTGCAGTGGAAGTTGAGACTCCTCGTACGAGGAGAACATGAACCCTCGCGCTGGGCGTACGGTGCCCTCTCACTCTGCCTACTCTCCCGTCTTTCGCTCTGACTATTTAATCCCTCTCTCCCCTCTCACTCAACCATCGCTCCCCTACCTCAACCAGAGCTCCTGTTCATGGTGCTGGTGGTGGGGTGGGTGTCATGCGGCGGAGTGATAGCTCACCATAGCAGCTATCCTTCCTCTCCCTACACCCTCTCTCCCATCCCTCCCCTCCCTCTGCGAGAGCCCATGTTCATGGTGCTGGGGGTGGTGTGGGTGTCATGCGGCGGAGGGATAGCTAAGCATAGCAGTCATCCTTCATCACACTCCCCTCTCTCTCCCATCCCTCCCCTCCCTCTGCGAGAGCCCCTGTTCATGGTGCTGGGGGTGGTGTGGGTGTCATGCGGCGGAGGGATAGCTAAGCATAGCAGTTATCCTTCATCTCACTTCCCTCACTCTCCCATCCATCCCCTCCCTCTGCGAGAGCCCCTGTTCATGGTGTTGGGGGTGGTGTGGGTGTCATGCGGCGGAGGGAATAGAGGAAGCCGTATCCGTCAACCCCACGCGGCCCCCTTTCTGTCCGCCGCTCCTCCCTCCCCTCTCTATCCCGTCCCTCTCCCTCCTCGTCCGGAGCCACTGTAAAAGGTGCTGCTGGTCATGCGTGTGGCATGCGGCGTAGCGTGCAGGCGGGTGGCTGCAGTGGAAGTTGAGACTCCTCGTACGAGGAGAACATGAACCCTCGCGCTGGGCGTACGGTGCCCTCTCACTCTGCCTACTCTCCCGTCTTTCGATCTGACTATTTTATCCCCTCTCTCTCCCCTCTCACTCTACCATCGCTCCCCTACCTCAACCAGAGCTCCTGTTCATGGTGCTGGTGGTGGGGTGGGTGTCATGCGGCGGAGTGATAGCTCATCATAGCAGCTATCCTTCCTCTCCCTGCACCCTCTCTCCCATCCCTCCCCCACCTCTTCCAGAGCCCATGTTCATGGTGCTGTTGTTGGTATGGGAGCCATGCGGCGTAGTGATGGCAACAGCCCTTTCTCTCAACCTCTGAATTCCGCCCTTCATTCGGAGGCATCACTCAATTTTACGTTTCCAATCCACCCGTCCGTCATAGGTTCATTACGCCGTGGGGCGGGACCGGATGTGCCTAGAATGGCCAGACGATGCCATAGACTTCTACCCAACTCTCAAACAGCGCCTTCAGGTTTTGTATCAGGTTATCAGCGAGACGCACATAATTAAGCTGATGCAGCTGCGAGAGGCTATGGAAGACAAAAACATCGTCGACGGCTTCAAACGCGCTTGGACGTCATGGAAGAACGATCGTGGCTTCCACCTCAAGCGCAGAATGCTTGTAACTTTCGGCAAGAAGGTGCAAGGCCTGCGTGCAGCCGATCTCTGGATGGGCACCAAGAAGAAGAAGATGTGGAGAAAATACCTACCGAGTGAGTACGCGCGTTTCTGTTTTACTTCACCATTCATTTCATCTGCTCGTGCACCCCTCGTGACGATGATGAACAACTTACCCTAATGCATCCCCACTGTGGCACGCAACTACATACCTGCTCTCCTTGCCCAGGCTTGTAGCGCATGTGCAGTCACATCCGCATGACAGCTTAACGTTGGTTCTTCTCCCACTCTCCCCTTCTCCCGCCCCCCCTTTAATCTACAGCTCTCCCCTTCCCTCCCGCCATCCCGTTCTCTCCCTCCCTCCATTTCTCTTCAGCCCTCCCCTTCTCTCCCGCCCTCCATGTCTCTCCTGCCCTCCCCCTCTCCCCTGCCCTCCCCTTCTCTCCTGCCCTCCCCTTCTCTCCCGCCCTTCCCTGCTCTACTGCCCTCCAGCCAACCCTCCGTTCATTCTATACCGCCCTCCACTTCGTCCATACCCTTTGGACAACCCCTAACCATGTCGTGCATGATCTTTGTCCCCGCCTTGTCTTGCGTGCGCGCAGGAGGGAATCAGCGGGTCAGCTCGTGGGGAAACAGCAGAGACGGGCTCCCGTTTGCCAACGGCCGGTTTGTCGATGCGGTCCCGGAAGCATTTCGGAATCTCTGTGTTGGGCGCCGGGTGTGCGTCAAAGCCTACCACATTGCCTGGTCAATCATGGTGGTAAGGCATTATTGCTCTCCCGTCAGTTCGCTCTAGCTTTGCTTGCAATTCTTGCCCGCCAGACTGGAATGTGGGGCTATTTGCGCAGCCCGTGAACTCTACACGCGAGTGTCCACATATGTCTCTATTTCCCCTCTTTCCCATACTTTGCTATGCTTTTTCAGATTGACCAAGGCTTGGCAAAGGTTAAGAAGACCGACTGGAACGTCTCGAACTCCCACCGGAAGAACACCGAGTGGATGACGAGTTTGCACCAAAATGTGCGGTGGATTATCAAGGACCACTTCACACGCCACACCCCCGTGTACAACACAGTCGTGCAGGGCTTCAAGTGGGGCGACCGTGGCCTGTATGTTCACGAGTCAGGATTTGAGGCGTTCAAGGGGACGGCCGCGCCTGACGAGGAGAAGAAGGACTTGAAGGAGGAAGAGCAGGAGGTGCACGACGCGGAGGACTTGAAGACGGATGACGAGGAGGATGACGAGGATCAGGAGGAGGACGAGGAGGAGGAGGAGGAGGAGGACGAGGAGGAGGAGAAGGAGGAGGAGGAGGAGGAGGAGGAGGATGAGGAGGAGGAGGAACAGTGGGGGCAGGAGCGGAGGAAGAGCAAAAGGCACAAGAGATGCAAAAGCAGGGGAGGCAAGAAGGATGAGCAAGAGGATGAGGAGGAGGAAGACGAGGAGGATGTGAAACGGGGGGGGGCGGGAGATTAGGAAGGGCAGAAGGCAGAAGAGAGGGAAAATCAGGGGAGGCAGGGGGGAAGAGGAAGAGGGTGGGGAGGAGGAGGAGGGGGAGCAGGAGGATGAAAATCATAGGGGGCAGGAGAGGAGGAAGGGCAGAAAGCACAAAAGAGGCAAAGGCAAGGGAAGCAGGAGGGAAGAGGAAGAGGAGGAAGAAGTGGAAGAGGAGGAAGAGGATGAGGATGAGGAAAAGGAGGAGGAGGATGTGGAACGGGGGGGGCGGGAGCTTAGGAAGGGCGGAAGGCAGAAGAGAGGGAAATTCAGAGGAAGCAGGGGGGAAGAGGAAGAGGATGAGGAGGAGGAGGAGGGGGAGCAGGAGGATGAAAATCATAGGGGGCAGGAGAGGAGGAAGGGCAGAAAGCACAAAAGAGGCAGAGGCAAGGGAAGCAGGAGGGAAGAGGAAGAGGAGGAAGAAGTGGAAGAGGAGGAAGAGGATGAGGATGAGGATGAGAAGGGGGGGGGGCCAGGAGCGAAGGAGGGGCAAAAGACACAAGAGTGGCAAACGCCGGGGAGGCAAGAGGGTCAAGCGATGGGGCGACTAAACAAGGGGGGCAGCAGATGAGGCATGAGTGGAGTTTACAAGGGGAGGCAGCAGGATAGGCATCACACACTTGCAAGGAGACATCAAAACGGAGGTAGAGGCATTGGTGGAGACAGCAAGGGGGGCAGCACGCCAGGCAAGAAAGTAGAGCCAACATGGGGGGTAGCACGGGCGGCAAAAGCGTGGAGTCAGCAAAGGGGGCAGCAGTAGAGACAATGTGAGGAGTGTCCAAGGGTGGGCAACCAGCAAGGCAACCAGATAGTGCAAGAGGGTGCAGCAGAAAAGGCATGAGTTGAGAGAGTTGGGGGGGCAACAGAAAAGGCACGAGCAGATAGAGGGGAGTGCACAAGGGGGGCAGCAGGTTAGGCATGACTGGGGAGCGCCAAGGGCGGAGCATGAGAGGGCAGAGCATGCAATGAAGCAGTGGACGCAGGGGCACGCTCGACCTAGAGCACCAGAGATGGGGTTCGGTGGAAGACATAGTGTATTGGAGGATGCTAAGCAGGTCGTAGGATGATGCAGCTCAACCTAACTGACTAGGCACAGAGGGTTTAGGATGCAGTTTTATGTGCGTTTTTAGGGTGGAATTATCAGCTTTTACCAAATCTTCTGTATTGTTCATTTTGAATGCAAGATTGAGGCAACTTAACATAGTTTTGAATTACATATAAGGTCGTGCAAGTCTCCTACATAAGCTTATTTTAATGAGCCCGAAATTCCATAAAGAGTACATTGCAATGAGATCCGATCTTCGAAATTGCTCTGCGGAAACTTGTACCAAACTTCTTCCGAAGGTGTTCACCTGGCAGGTTTGAACAGAAAAGCATTGGAGAAGCATTTAAAAAGTGTTCGAGAAAGCATTTGGAAAGCAGCCTATACTTTCTCAAAAAAGCGTTCGAAAAACGTTGTTCAAGAATAATTCGACAAAACTCCAAAGCAACTTTTTTCATTGGTTTTCCGGATGCAGGATTTTTGTGATGGGGGATCGACCTGCTCTGATAGCATGTGAAAGTTTAGAAGAAAGAAGAGGACTGCACTAGCAAGAATGGGGATACAAATAGGAAACCCTAGAAGGGTTGTACTCGCAATAGAGCACCCCACTACAGGCTAGAGCATAAGATAACATTCTGACAATTATCTGCACCCAAGATCTGTTCCTGCCGTTTTCGTTATCTGCAGAAAAACATTGTTATAAATCGAAACTCAACTGCCCCCTCAATTCTCCTCAACTACCCTCTCAATTCTCCGCGCAAAACCCAGTCCTGTCCTTACCATAAAACAGGTGCATCGGCTTGAGATGCCTTTCCAAATCATATATGCCTCAAGCATACTTCAGACTACTCTTTCTTAACTCGCACTTCGGTGTCGCAGAGCAATGACGGACGTTAACCGCAAGCAGCAACGTCAATGCTGCGTTTCTTGGTGGCAAGACCTTCGCAGCTGCAAATTCAGGATGATTCTAGCCACCACATGATGTTATGGATCCCACTTGGGCATTCTGGCTAACTACCACACAATTTTGCGCTCTCCATCCTCGCCATGGGTTTTTTACTCTGCCCTTAACATTTTTTATCCTGACCGACACACCATATTTCGAACGTATTAGGAGGCGGAAACCCACCCTCTCTTTTTGCATTGCTCCACCCACAGCATTCGCAATGCCTCCACACTGAAATACCTCCACCCTTTTTGCACCCCTCCTTCTCACCTGACGCCAACATGCCCAATGCGTTTGGGCCCAATGCATAGGGATGAGCAAAGAACGAACGCCTGTTCGGTTGGCCTCGAACGTGTTCGATGTTCGCACGAACATGTTCGGTGTTCGTTTTCTTCAAGTGGCAGAGCCGCGTCGAACACGAACGTCAATTAGCCCACGACAAATTTTAGGGTCGCGGGCTTTTGTGTTTGAGCTCTTTTTTTTAGCTCAAACTAGTCGCGACCTGGTCGCGACCCCCAAAATGCCAACTACCTTCCTTACCTAATGGTCTAAGGAGCCTCAATGCTCCATCATAGAGGCGACGTGAGTACAATACCTATTACCAGAATATGTGTATCATTAAGAATGGGCAGGTTTGAGTAGTTAGCAAGCGTTTAGGGTTAGGGTCTAAGTTGTCCATGGGCGAACACGAACGTGTTCGCCTGTGCCTACAAGATGTTTGCCCTCACAGGCAAACATTGAACACCTTTTTTTGTAAAAGGTGCTCGGCGAACGGAACAATGTTCGGTTCGCCGGCTGTGTTCGTGCAGGGTCGAACGCGAACACGTTCGTATTCGCCCCTTACTCATCCCTACCAATGCATTTGGGCCCAATGCATTTGGGCCCAATGCCCAACACAGTGGAGAACGTACAGAATAGAGAGCTGGCGGAGGTTGCTGATGGAGTCCGGAATGGACCCCCTTAGATTGAGCTCGGGTATCTTCCTGCGCCCAAGAACACCCAAGAGCACCCAAGCATGCTGGCGTATGGTTACCATCTGATCAAGAGAGTGAAAGAGTGGTGTGGCGCGGCCTTGTTGGTAGCACACGCGCACATGGTGGTCACTACATGCGCATACTTAGGGGGCAACCCCCTACACGAGCGTCAAGCACACTGCAGTTAGAGTGCAGATTGAATCTCACAACTCCAAGACCATTGTGTTGCTGTCGCATGTGATACCCTTTGCTCTGCTGCAGTCCGGATGGGCGTCCCCCCAACCAGACAACGTCTGTCCCCATGCCGTCTGGCAGTCCCACAGGAATTGCACTTCGGGTTGGTAGAGTGGAGGTGAGGGAGGGAATAGGGAGAGGGGAGGAGAGGGTGAGGTGGGTGTTGGAGGGTGGCGGAGGTAGGCAGAATGAAGAGTAGAAAGGAAACGGGGAGTTGGTTGTGTTTGTGTGTTTGGGTGGGGGGAGTGGCGTAAAGGGCACACATAGCAAGCAACGCACATATCTCAAAGAAAGCAATCTCGCAATTGAAGCTTTGAAAAGGAAAAAAAAACCAAAAAAAACAAAAAAAAAAAAAACGATGAGGGTTACAAATAGGTGTCAGTGAGGTAGGATACCCAATTTCCCCCCCAAGTACCCCAGCAGAAACGTATGGGCAGGATGAAATCGTTACCAAACCACAGACATTCGCCACCACTTTTTCACGAAACACCACAGCAACTGCTTTTCGTTTCTGTTTCCGACTAAACAGCTCATCCCGAACCGCCATTTTATCACAACCAAACGCAGGTGCTCGGATCGTGTGTGCAATTGACCTCCCGAGTCAGAAAGAAACGCTGTCTGGATTGCATGGATAATTGCATTTTCAGAAAGTTTAGGGTTGGGAGGGGCATCTCCTAGGGTACGCAAGTGATGGCATCATTGGATACTTCTGATGATCTACGCTACCAGCAAGCTCACAGTCAAACTATGGTATGCTAGCCGATTGATGCCTGCCTTGTTCCTAGAGGGCGTGGTTGGAAATTTATAGAGAGGGAACTTCGAAACGTTGGCAAGGGCAGTCTTTGGTGTAACGCCTCTGGGTTCTGTTGAAGGCATTCCGCTACGCCAAAGAACACCCTCGTTTCAACCCAGTGGGTAGCGAGGTGTAATACTGGTATTAAAAGAGCCTAGCGGTTCATATAATGGCTGGTCCGCATTTTCCGCCTGTGAGAACTTCTCATTAATTACGCTCTTGTTCTAACTCGTCTTTCGTAACCAGAACCATGATCTAGACGATTTGTTTTTTAGCTTTTTTTTAAATTTCTCTCATCTCGCGTCACTGCTTACGTCCCTTACTATGTTAATGCGTCACATTTCAAACTGGCTTTCCCATCCGGTTGTCCTTTTTCCCGTGGCATTGAATCAGAATAGCAAGTGACATCTTCTCAATGACTGTGGAAAGGGATCATGGCGTCTTGTACGATTCAAAATCGTCAATCATCTACTTCACCAGTACGTTTTCTTGCAATTTCATTGTCTTGAACGTTGTTATTTCTGATCTAAACAAAAATGTTTGGTGTGTCAACGTTGTTTTTTAAGATCTGTCTGAACATATTTTTTTTAAAGAAGATTGCAATGGTTTTGTCGACGGTAAGTTGTTTCATTCTGTTCTGGAGCTTGGTTTTCTAATCTCAATGACTAACAAATGATGGTTTCCAGCATACTATATGCCTATTTTGCAGTTCAATGTAATATTATTGGATCAAATCATTCTTGTTATTGTCTTCTAACAACTTGGTCGGTTCAAGGGTAATATTTATTGCTTCATGTCTGCAAAACGTTTGTTATGACTCAACTGAAGCCACGATGTTGCGGTGTTTTTGTGTTATGCCAGATAATATATTTAGGCCTTATGGCTTTGGAAGTGGTGGTCATTTGTATACATTATGGTGCAAAAATAATGCATTAGCGTTTTTAGTGTTTTCTTTGTATTAACATTGTAATAATGTACTGGTGTAAATATAATGGGGCTCTAAGGCCAAACGCAAAAGGTGCAGATGCAATGCAAGCTAACCCAAAATTGACCTGCATGGGTCTCGAAACCCTCTCGCAAACTGTCTTGAAACTGTCCTCGAAGTCACTTTGGGGTCAATTGCTGAAAACTGTTTCGGGACATTTCACTTAGTCCCGAAAGAGTCTTCGGGGACACTTTCTCAAGTGTCCCGAATCTGTTCCAAAAGACTCCCGTGGGAGTGTTTTGGGACATTACATTTTGGAGTTGAACTCAAATGTGGTTACCATACTTGAACCCAGCTAACGATCTTCCATGGCCTGAGCAACGAGCGAACTCGAGGTGCCTGCAGGAGGGGCCGACTCCCAGAGCCAATAAAGACGTTGGCACCAGGGGGGGACGGTGCAACGTCTGTGGGCTGTGTTAATGGCAATTCGCTGCAAGGTGACGAGGTGTTATATTTAACCTAGTGGGTAGCAAGGTAATATATTTGAGACTGTTGGTTTCAAGTTGTCGTGCTTTAGTTGCTGACACCGCACTGACCATCGCATCACCTTGCGACGCTTGAAGCGGTTGTGTGTTGACAAGCGCGAGGGGCGTGGCGAGTTGAAGCACGGCGACGCAGCATGCGAGTGCCAGCCTGGCACTGAGTGCGTGATGCACCCATCGCTCTAGTAGTAGCGCCATAATGATCCCCTCGCGGCTCACCGCCGCCGCTGGACTTAAGTGGAGAGGGTGGAGGGTGGAGCGCTCGACTACGGCGTCGCTCCACTGCGAGGACTCGGGCCAACGCGGCCCCGCGAGGTGACCCTGCCCGCCGCCAGTCAAGCTGCGAGCTTGCTCTCCCTCTCACGCTCGCACTTGCGACTGATCTCGGAGTTCCCACGGGCGGCCCGTAGATGCAATTTAGGCGCACAGTGAGCCACGTGGGTGGGCCGGTGGGAAAAGGAGCGGCTGCATCCGAAATTTGACGGGTCCCATAACTTGAGAAGAAGTAACTCGCAAAGTCACTGATGGACTTGCTCTTTGAGCAAATTGACTCAAGGTCGCAGGCTGCGATTTTCTCCTCTCATATTTATGCTCACCATGGCATGTCCATACCCCACTACACTCAACTACCATGAAGTGTGGTCACTGCTGGCCTTGCCACTTATGATGTGCCATATGTTCCATATTCACATTTCTGGCATTCGTTATTCACATTTCTGGCATTCCTTATTCACATTTCTGGCATTCGTTATTCACATTTCTAGCATTCCTTATTCACATTTCCGGCATTCCTTATTCTCATTTCCGGCATTCCTTATTCTCATTTCTGGCATTCCTTATTCACATTTCTGGCATTCCATATTCACATTTTTGGCCCCTATGGTGTGCCATATGTTCCAGCCTGGCCTGCATGTGCAACAAGAGGCCTCACTTGCTAGCTTGGCAAGGTTGGCTAGCCTTGCCCTCAACTTCTAGGGCGGCAGCTAGCCTCAAGTGTTCAGCCATACATCTATGGCTACACTACTTCCCAAGATATTATGAGTAGAGAACACTCTGCCTTGCCTCTGAGGCTTGTACCATCTTCTCGCTAAGGATATGATCTTCTTCCCATTGTGCCCTGATGTTCACCTATCCATCTTTTACAGGGCTCACCACCACCTGCTCATCTCTACTTACATGACGACTAGGTTTGCAAGGTTGGTGATTGCAGTGGGGATTGAGCCAGTGAGCTGATTTTCGTAAAGATTTCTGCGCCAATGATCACAACGGGGCATGCATGAGTCAGATATAGAGAGCTGAAGATTGCATGGAAACGCGCTGGTATAAGCTAACTTTATTGGCAGGCAAAATTCCTATTAATGTAAGGCCGTGCAATGGACTTTGTTCATGAGATGTGTTTTGACAATGGCATGGGATAGATGGGGGCAAGAGAAGTGAGGAGAGGCGTGTTCTTGCTCCAAGTCAAATAATAATTTGTGCGGGGATTGAACATAGGAAAGGGAAAGGGCAAGGCAAAAACAAGACAGCAACAAAAAGAAATGAAAGGAATGGAGAGAAGATTACAAAGGTTGTGCAGAGACTAGGCCTTCAAACAGCGTAAAGTCCGGTCAGATCGATCCCCGATATTTTGCTGAGGCAGGTTGCCCCCGTAGTGGGCTCGACCTGACCAGGTCGCCCCGACCTGACTTGAACCGATCCGTATCTAGGCGTGGGCAAAGTTCAACCATGTTTGAGTCGAAGAGAAAACAGGTTTTGTTTGACTCGAACATTTAAGTTATAAAATCTAATTCTTCGAGTCAAACAATCTGGTTTAGTTCAACTTGTTTAGTCAAATTGTATCAAACAAAACATGTTCGAGTCACTTGTCAACCTACCTTACCAACTCTCCTAGGCATCTCCTAGGGTTGTCGTAAGATAGATCAAAAGCTACATCCTTGGAAATGTAGGAAATCTCCTCTCTTGGATTCTTCCTCTGAGCAATTCCCGCTATTTGTTTGACAATTCTCCTCCCGTTTCTCCCAGTCTTGTTCCCACTGTCCGCGCATTTCACTCTATCGCATCTCCTGGCCGTGAGGTATCGGATCTCCGTGGGTATTTCCCCCTTGGCATTGGTGAGAGATTTTAGTGTCCTGTGGCGCACATGCACACCCAAGGGCGTCGGAGAAGAGTCAATGCTACCATACCAAGACACAATGAGAGGCGGCCACAAAGTCAGTTCACTGACTGAAATGATGAGCTACACGAGTTGAAGCATCAAGGCAGCACTGGCTCCCGGCCCACTGGAATCGAACTTACAGGCTTTGAAGATTCTCCAGATGAGAGAGAACGTGTAGAGAGGACAAGCTCCCTGTGAGTTCCGCCAAGCCAAAAAGATTCCTGGTGGGTGGTGGTGGTGGGAGGGTTGTGGCACGTGCGAGAAGCCATGGGGTGGGCAGAGGGTGGAACACGGCACGACTCGCGGCTTGTACACAAGTTTTTGGAGCAATGTGGCATGGCGGCAGCGCAGCAATGAGGGCAGCATGACTTAGAGACGAAATGGAGTGCCAATTCCATGCCGAGTGGCACAGTTATGAGGGCGTGTGTGAACTGAAAACAGGGCATGGCAGTGTGAAGGGCATACAGCAATTGCAAGTTGGAGAGCGAGGAGAGCCAGGCCAGTCCCTCGTAGGTGCCTGTGAGCTGGCTGCTGTCTGTTCCTATGGCTCTGAGGACATGCCGCACTTGCAGTCAGCCATGCCGCACATGCAGTCAGCCATGCCGCACAAGTAGTCAGCCATGCATGCCGCACATGCAGCCAGCCATGCATGCCGCACATGCAGTCAGCCATGCAGCACATGCAGTCAGCCATGCCACACATGTAGTCAGCCATGCCGCACATGCAGAGGAATGGTGGAACGAAACATCAACTCCTTGAGATAGGAGAAAGCAAGGGCAGTAAAAATCTTTGGCTGCAGAGGAGAGAAGCAGCGCAATGGGAGGGGGTCAGGGGCAGGGGGCCAAGGGCGAGCCGACAAGGGCGGGGGGACAAGTGCGGGGGGACAAGTGCAGGGGGACAGTGCAGGGGGACAAGTGCGGGGGGACAAGTGCGGGGGGGCAAGTGCAGGGGGACAAGTGCGGGGGAACAAGGGCAGGGGGACAAGTGCGGGGGGATAAGGGCAGGGGTGCAAGGGCGGGGGGACAAGGGCGGGGGTGCAAGGGCGGGGGGACAAGGGCCGGGGACACGGGCAAGCAGGGGGACCAGGGCAAGTAGGGGGACAAGGGCAAGCAGGGGGACAAGGGCAAGCAGGGGGACCAGGGCAAGCAGGGGGACAAGGGCAAGCAGGGGGACCAGGGCAAGCAGGGGGACAAGGGCAAGCAGGGGGACCAAGGCAAGCAGGGGGACAAGGGCAAGCAGGGGGACAAGGGCAAGCAGGGGGACAAGGGCAAGCAGGGGGACAAGGGCAAGCAAGGGGACAAGGGCAAGCAGGGGGGCCAAGGCAAGCAGGGGGACCAGGGCAAGCAGGGGGACAAGGGCAAGCAGGGGGACCAGGGCAAGCAAGGGGACAAGGGAAAGCAGGGGGACAAGGGCAAGCAGGGGGACCAGGGCAAGCAGGGGGACAAGGGCAAGCAGGGGGACCAGGGCAAGCAGGGGGACAAGGGCAAGCAAGGGGACCAGGGCAAGCAGGGGGACCAGGGCAAGCAGGGGGACAAGGGCAAGCAGGGGGACAAGGGCAAGCAGGGGGACCAGGGCAAGCAAGGGGACAAGGGCAAGCAGGGGGACAAGGGCAAGCAGGGGGACCAGGGCAAGCAGGGGGACCAGGGCAAGCAGGGGGACAAGGGCAAGCAGGGGGACAAGGGCAAGCAGGGGGACAAGGGCAAGCAGGGGGACAAGGGCACGGCCGCGGCATGCACGGCTCCGGTGCGTTGTGTGTACGGAGGCGGGGCACGTACAGGAGAGTGAGGCTGGAGAGACTTGTGAGGGAGGGGATGGGCCCCACCAGCTGCTCGTTTGTGAGATCCCTGTGGACGTGGGGAGGCAGGAAGCAAGAGAGATGGCAAGAGGGACGCGGAATGAGGCGTCGTGCAGAGAGACGCCCTGGTGCAGATCACATCACATCCAACTGCTGCATCAACTGCACCAACTTCTGCAGAGTTGAGGCATGCAAAGGCAGCAAGCGCGGCAGCCAGGTGTGGCTTGTGAAGCAAGTGGAGAGCTAGATGCGGTTGTGTGGGGGGAAAGAGAGGGGGGGGAGGGGGGGGTGGGGGGGAGAGGTCTCTGCATAGACATGGCATGGCCACTTTGAAACTTCCTGGTGAGGCGGGGCATGGACGAGCAAGCACGGCCACCGAGCGTAAGAGCAGGAGGACTGTGATGGATGGTGTGATGGCATGGTGCATGCGATGCAGCAATGCGGAGTGGATGGAGTGGTGGAGGAAGTGGGTGGGTGGGGACGGACAGGTACTGCAGAGCAGCGAGGTTGGTGATGGAGGCAGTTATGGAAGCGCTGCCATGCACCACCACGGCCTTTGAATCCCTGCCGTGCCACTCACTCACCACACGCACGCACGCAACACATCCGCGCCATCGAACCACGCCATGCTTCCATCCCATCCGTCCCCACCCCTTCACACCATCGCCTTACCCATCCCCTCCCACCGCCCTACCTCCACCGCATCACTAAAATCAAGTGGCGGAAAACCTCTCATGAAGTGTGTTTGTTGTGTTTTTGCAGATGATTTGAAGATGTAGGGGTCGGTACTTTTTTAGAAGAAAGTATCGAACTTTTTCCAGATGGTATGTCAAATGCTTTGCATATGATCGGAGTGTTTTTAAAACAGTTTGGAAATGGTTGTGAGGAACTTCTCATTGTGTTTGGGAGAACTTGGTTAAATCATGTTATGTGCTTCAATTTTAGACTTGTATAAGGTTTGCTATTTACTTTTATATGCATATAATAATCTTGGAAAGGGTTTATGGGGTATTATAAAAAAACATAATCGGAGTTTGGAAAACCCAGTTGGTAGTTTCTTTAGCACTTTCCATAAATACACCGTAAGAGGGAAGGCATGTACGTGTAAATCATAATATTAGCTTGAAAAGGTTTACGACACATTATATGCCTACTTATTCTCTGGTTCTTAGCTACTCTACTAATCATCCTCGGTTAATGACACTTGCGCTACTACTACCCACTATCAACCCTAAGTCCGTACTCTGCTTCATCCTCCCTGCTGTGCTACTCCCTGCTACATCCTCCCTGCTGTGCTACTCCCCGCTGCATCCTCCCTGTTGTGCTACTCCCCAGTAAAATCCTCCCTGCTGTGCTACTCCCCGCTACATCCTCCCTGCTGTGCTACTCCCCGCTGCATCCTCCCTGCTGTGCTACTCCCCGCTGCATCCTCCCTGCTGTGCTATTATTTCTTAACCCTGCCCCCTTGATGTCAATCCTTGCTTCCCCCTCATGTTGTTACTACTGTGCTCCCCTCCCGGCTGTTACTCCTGCGCACCTCTCCTTGCTGATACTCCTCTCCTCCCTTCCCGGCCGTGGTTCCAGTCCTCCCTTCCCTGCTGTGGTTCCTCTGCTCCCCTCCCTGCTGTGGTTCCTCTCCTCCCTTCCCTGCTGTGGTTCCCATGCTCCCCTCCTTGCTATGGTTCCTCTCCTCCCTTCCCTGCTGTGGTTCCCCTGCTCCTCTCCCTGCCGTGGTTCCTCTCCTCCCCTCCCTGCTGTGGTTCCCCTGCTCCCCTTCCTGCTGTGGTTCCTCTCCTCCCCTCCCTGCTGTGGTTCCTCTCCTCCCCTCCCTGTTGTGGTTCCTCTCCTCCCCTCCCTGCTGTGGTTCCTCTCCTCCCCTCCCTGCTGTGGTTCCTCTCCTCCCCTCCCTGCTGTGGTTCCTCTCCTCCCCTCCCTGCTGTGGTTCCTCTCCTCCCCTCCCTGCTGTGGTTCCTCTCCTCCCCTCCCTGCTGTGGTTCCTCTCCTCCCCTCCCTGCTGTGGTTCCTCTCCTCCCCTCCCTGCTGTGGTCCCTCTCCTCCCCTCCTTGCTTCGGTTCCTCTCCTCCCCTCCCTGCTGTGGTTCCTCTCCTCCCCTCCCTGCTGTGGTTCCCCTGTCCCCACATCTGATCTTACCCCAAGCTCGGAGCACTGCAATTCCACCATTCATCTCCTCTAGACGTGCACTGACGCCACCCTCCTTGTCGGATTGCAGGGTTGTGGTCTTGGCCTATACTCCTCGAACCCCGACTCATGGACGAACAAGCCAAAATTCCCCCACCTAAACCCCTTCATCCGTGGGTCGTAGACAGGGTTCACTTGGCTGAAATGATCCGTCACTGCCCGCTTCACCGCCCTGCGGATGCTTGCCACCCACCGCGTGTTCTTTCGGTGGGAGTTTGTGAGGTTCATCGTCGACTTCTTGACCTTCGACAAGCCGTAGTCAATCTACATTGTCAAAATAGGGGAGCATGGACAGATTCAAGCGTGATAAGTGTGAGAGGTCAGAATCATGTGGGGCAAGCACAACATCCAGTGAAGTATGCCATGGTGGTAGAGTGTGAGCATGAAAGGTGATAGAGGAGTGGGGCAGCTTCTGAAAGGAAGAGGAAACCAAAGAGTGTTCGGAAACACGGGAGGGGAAGGATACTGATGGGTACTGCATGGACGTGAGGGGATTGGTGAAAAATATTAACAACGTAAGCCCGTGAGTGAAATCGTGAACCCAGAGTGGGCGCAACTCCCCTGGGCAGGTGGATACCAAGGTTTCAAGAAGCACCTGAGAGGGAGGTGGAAACACGGGGGTTTAAGGTTTACACGGGATGGCACGGGTTTACCAAGGAGAAAAGTGTGGGATGAGAAACAAGTAAAAGGACCCTCACAAGCCACTCACCACCAAGATAGTCCAGGCAACATGATACGCCTTCAAGCATATGTCGTTCCCCATGGCAAATTCACCAAAGGCGTCCATTGCTGCGTTGAAGAAGATCTCGTTGCCGAACGGGAGATCAGTAACCTCAGCATTTCCCCATGTGCTCAGTTGGGCGTCGGCACCTGCAACACAGGCGAACGAAGATGGTTCAATGGGTGGGGTGTGAAAAGGGAAGAGGGTGGATGGGCTGGCGAATCACAGGTTTCTACAACGGTCCATGTAAAGGAAACGCCAAGCTATGGAGTACAGATATGGGGTGTTGCAAGAAACGGGTGCTAGGGCTGAGATGGTGAAACAAGGAGGAGGGGGGGAGGGTGGGGGAAAAGGTCAGGCAGGTGTTTACTCACTCGGGCCATACTCCCCCCAGAGATCCTCCTTGAGCTCAGTGTTGATGTGGATTTCCGCTGCCCGCAAGCCACTCATAGGAACCCCCAACCCCTTGAGCACGGTCCGTTTGACGTAAAACCCGCGCTCGTTCTTCCACTGCGTATACACGCGCTTGAATGCATCCCTCCGTGTTTTATCCGCCATGGCCTCCTTCAGCAATATCAATGGAACCACATAATGCTCAGAAATGACTTCATGCAAAACAAGAATCCGCTTCTCAAAGCTTGGGTAGAACGTGAAAAGATGGTCCTCAGCTTCCATAGACATGCGCTTCCTTGCTTCTTCCGTGTACAGCTGTTTAAAATGAGAATGTAGGGTAAACCAAAGAATGGGAATGTGGGGTATTGGGAATGAGTATATGTCACTGCTGAGAATGAGACCAGAGGGTGGGATGAGAATGAATCACTGCAGAGAAGGAAACCAGAGAGTGGGAGTCACTGCAGAGAATGAGACCAGAGGGTGGGATGAGAATGAATCACTGCAGAGAAGGAAACCAGAGAGTGGGAGTCACTGCAGAGAATGAGACCAGAGGGTGGGATGAGAATGAATCACTGCAGAGAAGGAAACCAGAGAGTGGGAGTCACTGCAGAGAATGAGACCAGAGGGTGGGATGAGAATGAATCACTGCAGAGAAGGAAACCAGAGAGTGGGAGTCACTGCAGAGAATGAGACCAGAGGGTGGGATGAGAATGAATCACTGCAAAGAAGGAAACCAGAGAGTGGGAGTCACTGCAGAGAATGAGACCAGAGGGTGGGATGAGAATGAATCACTGCAGAGAAGGAAACCAGAGAGTGCGAATGTGAATGAGTCACTGCAGAGAATGAGACCAGAGGGTGGGGATGAGAATGAATCACTGCAGAGAAGGAAACCAGAGAGTGGGAATGTGAATGACCAGCGAGAGAATGAGACCAGAGGGTGGGATGAGAATGAATCACTGCATAGAAGGAAACCAGAGAGTGGGAATGTGAATGAGTCACTGCAGAGAATGAGACCAGAGGGTGGGATGAGAATGAATCACTGCAGAGAAGGAAACCAGAGAGTGGGAATGTGAATGAGTCACTGCAGAGAATGGGACCAGAGGGTGGGAATGAGAATGAATCAGTGCATAGAAGGAAACCAGAGAGTGGGAATGTGAATGAGTCACTGCAGAGAATGAGCCTTGAGGGTAGGATGAGAATAAATCACTGCAGAGAAGGAAACCAGAGAGTGGGAGTCACTGTAGAGAATGAGACCAGAGGGTGGGATGAGAATGAATCACTGCAGAGAAGGAAACCAGAGAGTGGGAGTCACTGCAGAGAATGAGACCAGAGGGTGGGATGAGAATGAATCACTGCAGAGAAGGAAACCAGAGAGTGGGAGTCACTGCAGAGAATGAGACCAGAAGGTGGGATGAGAATGAATCACTGCAGAGAAGGAAACCAGAGAGTGGGAGTCACTGCAGAGAATGAGACCAGAGGGTGGGATGAGAATGAATCACTGCAGAGAAGGAAACCAGAGAGTGGGAGTCCCTGCAGAGAATGAGACCGGAGGGTGGGATGAGAATGAATCACTGCAGAGAAGGAAAGCAGAGAGTGGGAGTCACTGCAGAGAATGAGACCAGAGGGTGGGATGAGAATGAATCATTGCAGAGAAGGAAACCAGAGAGTGCGAATGTGAATGAGTCACTGCAGAGAATGAGACCAGAGGGTGGGGATGAGAATGAATCACTGCAGAGAAGGAAACCAGAGAGTGGGAATGTGAATGACCAGCGAGAGAATGAGACCAGAGGGTGGGATGAGAATGAATCACTGCATAGAAGGAAACCAGAGAGTGGGAATGTGAATGAGTCAATGCAGAGAATGAGACCAGAGGGTGGGATGAGAATGAATCACTGCAGAGAAGGAAACCAGAGATTGGGAATGTGAATGAGTCACTGCAGAGAATGGGACCAGAGGGTGGGAATGAGAATGAATCAGTGCATAGAAGGAAACCAGAGAGTGGGAATGTGAATGAGTCACTGCAGAGAATGAGCCTTGAGGGTAGGATGAGAATGAATCACTGCAGAGAAGGAAACCAGAGAGTGGGAGTCACTGCAGAGAATGAGACCAGAGGGTGGGATGAGAATGAATCACTGCAGAGAAGGAAACCAGAGAGTGGGAGTCACTGCAGAGAAAAAGACCAGAGGGTGGGATGAGAATGAATCACTGCAGAGAAGGAAACCAGAGAGTGGGAATGTGAATGAGTCACTGCAGAGAATGAGACCAGAGGGTGGGATGAGAATGAATCACTGCAGAGAAGGAAACCAGAGAGCGGGAATATGAATGAGTCACTGCAGATAATGAGACTAGAGGGTGGGATGAGAATGAATCACTGCAGAGAAGGAAAACAGAGAGTGGGAATGTGACCAGAGAGTGGGAAAAACTAGACAATTGGAGAAAGAGTATTAAATATGCACCATTGGTCAAACAAAACCATATAATGAGCACGCTAGCGAGTCAGGTGTGGCAATCGGTAGGAGAAATTGGTGGCACTTACCTTCAAATTAGTCGTGTTTGGCATCCCATGCCTCCTGGTGATGGGAGTGCCTTGTACAGCGCTCTCCGCCACAGCGCCCGGCGTTTCAGGCGGCTCAGGTTGTTCACTGGATATCGAGGTAAGTGGCGGGATTTGCGTCCCACTTCCCCCCCAGTCCAGCGAAGGTCCACGACCGGACTTTAGCTCGGCAATCTACCGATTAGCTTCCTGCAATGCCTGGAAGAGTTGCTGCATGGATTCATTACGAGAATTGCTCGAGGTAATGATGGGCACTCTGCTAGCGTCGAGCGGGGAATCGCCTCTTGCCGATGCGAACGGGGGTGGAGTTGCTGGGTCAGAGCGTCCAACTTTCCTGCCATCATTGAACCAATCTCCAACACCACCCGCCTCACCATCTTCCGCCCCCAGCCCCCCACCACAGGCCGGATCGTCACTACCACTGGCTGGATTGTGCGTGTTGTCATGCTGCTGGCCAGCGTTGTCACGCACAGTTGAATCTTGAAATCTAGATGCTCTCTTTCCCAATCCTGAGGTGGAAGCAAGGGCAGCATACGGATCGTTGGTTGCTGCCCGTTTCATCCGAACGTTCTCCCGACGATTCGACGGACCAGCATCATCCGAGTTCACCATGGTCCTCATCTCATTGTAGAAGCCAACGTCCTGTCTCACAACAGGACGCTCCTTAAAACGCCGCCGGGCGTAACCCTCAGTATCTGCTCGCTTTCCTTGAGCGCACTCTCTACGTCTCTGCCGTTTACGTCCACTACCAGCCTTACCACCGGTTGCATGACCACGCTTTCCGCTATAGCGGTGGTTGCGCGCTCCTCGCGCCCACCCCCCTCTCCTACCGTCGTCATCACTCCCGGACCCAGTTTCAGCGTCATCACTCTCGTCCTCTTCCTCATCATACTTCTCCTCGCTTGCGGATGAACTCCCTGATTCCTCCTCAGAACTATCTTCTCCATCAGAAGATTTGACCTCAGCAGCGGCCTTCTTTCCAGCCTTTCTGGACTGTGCCTTCACCCTCCCTGACACCCCCCTCTGATCTTCTAGCTCAGCGCCACGGCTCTCCCTCCCACCCTCCTCATGCCCTCGAACATTATGTGCATCCGCCGCACGAACACCTGCTGGAGTAGAGGGAGAAGACTCATCATGCTTCATATCACACTCTCCCTCACGCTTCACCCCACGCTCCCCCACACGCTTCACATCACGGTCTCCCTCACGCTTCACATCACGCTCTCCCTCACGCTCTCCCTCTCGCTCTCCCTCACGCTTAACATCACGCTCTCCCTC